ACGGAGTACCGCACCGCTTTCAGTATCTATAAGTTTACCATACTATAGTTTACACTGTTATACCACAAACTAGCCAGGAGTTCTAATTTTAACTTAAGTTGTTGGGGTATTGTTTTCACTGTTTCCACATGTTGGCTAACAGTTGGTATCCGTCTTAATTTCTGGTTTAGCATACTCATGGTTCTGCTGGGAAAAAAGAGAGAAAAAAAATAAGTAAAGAACCGTAAAATGGGTCAGCGGCGATGAAAAATCCAAAGACCACACAACTTGAAATTTGGCCAAACCGGGGACCAAATAGGTTTTCTCCTTAAGGGTTCAATACACTATCGGTGAACAAGCTATGAAAATTTGAAAAATTAACAACTGCGGGGAGTTATCCAGATGTGACAGTAAATTCTCTTGATTATTTTACAATGAAATCTCGGAAGATCACATGTTTGGATTTACAGGATTAAACGAAACAAAACAAATGGACTTCCGACTTTTCGAACATCCTTGGGAATGAAAATTGGTTTCAACTTTTGATGGAAGGGTTCGAGCATCATTATCGTCAAACACTTTTGTTTCAACGATATCCAAATGAATCGTATGTATATTAGAGACAGTAACACTTCTCCTTATTCAAAATAGGATAAATTGGAGTAATAAATTAAAAACAACAAACAAAAAATTAGTCAAATAAACGAAAGTCTTACCGTTACTGGTAACGTCTTCTCGTAGTTGGGATTTTCGATGGATGTCACTTTTGGAGTCTTTTTAACTGGAAGGCTAAACGCAAAAATAGGTTACAACAAAAAAAGGATTGTGCAAGAGACTCATGCAGAATTTTTCATGAAGCAACAGATTCTGGTTAAAATGAACATGGCAAACAAAGAAGATCCAATTTCAGAGTCCCACAAACCCACGCCTTCAAAAAGTGGCCAAGTGCTGAACCTCTGTTGTGTGCATGAGCTTCAATGTATGAAAATGTTTTCAAATCATTTTCGTTTCCAAGGTTTCAAACCTTCCTTCGTTTTCGAACCAAGGCTTTGCACCATGAATTATTTTCGTTTATCATTAGTCAACTCAAAGAAATTCAAGCGCTTCAATCAAAGCTAGTGTTGTTCTTTCTTTTGATTGGTTCAAACTGAGACTTGTTTCCCCAAATAAATCACCGTTAAGCTACGTGCTTCCTTAAATAAATACAAAGTCAGTTAACTTTCGTAACAAGCAACTTACTTCCTTTTGCTCTGATTTTCGGTTATGACAACTTCCGTTTTAATACAACGAAAGTCGGTCGAAACGCGCTTTATAAGGAAAAAGCCAGACCAAAGCAATTCAGGATTGCCTTCGACCATCAATATTTAAGACTTTTCTATCATTAGCTTATTGACCCAGCAGGTTGTTAGAATACCTGTAATGACTCTGTGCAGCCCCGTTCGGTGGTTTAATCCTAGAGACAAAAGAGACAGAAGATTACTCTCCGGTAAGAGAAACTTTGGGAGAGTAATCCAAGGCGAAAATGGACAGAAAGTAGTAAATGTATTGTGTTCAGAGAGTAGAAAACTCGATCAGCTTGTCTGTGCAGCTCTGATTACGACTATTCCGTCTATTAATGGTCGATTTCGTTTTCCTTCCAAAATCGAAATCCTGAGGTGTTGGGAGTATCCAGTGTCTTTTTTTCGGAGCGAGGGGGGGAGGAGAGTGGATGCTACATTAATCTTGCTAGCCTTCAACGAGTTCGTGACGTTTTTGACTGGCCAAGTAATAATTGTCATCTGGATTGGCTCTCTTTCACATTTTTCACAAGTGGTGTTTGATAAAATTTAGATAGGATAAGCGGCAAAACTTACAATTGGTATCCTACTGCAGCAGTGCTTTTGACTGGCGGAGAAAAACTGCAAAGAAATCGGTCACATTAAGAAAATTCCGTTCACAAAAGAAAATTGTCAGAAAAGCAAACAAAGTTTTGCACATACCCGATGTAAAGGGGATTTTCAGTTATCTTAGGAGAGTCCCGATCCTGATCCACGGGACAGCTGCAATAAAATGAGCAATTTGAAAACCTTTCTCAGGTAAAACTGTTTCCTAATGATGACATTACCCATCTGATGTGTAATTTACCAAAGATAACTGGGTGAGCCTTCACCCACATGTTTACACGAAAAATTAACGATAAAAAAATTATCATCTATCCATAATAATTACAATATGAAATTCACCTGTCACTTGAGGAAACTTCTTTTTCACCAATGGTAGAGTTCTCGGAGCTATCCGAACTAAAAAGAAGAAAGGAAAATACGACAAGTAGTCATTTTACAGTTATTAAATCACACTTGCAACATTGTTGCTCAAAATGAGACGTAGGGAAAGACATCAGCGGCCAGGCTGCTAAGTAAGATGAAAGATGGCGGCGTCCATAATCAATGTTTACGCGCATTTAAACACAATTTTTTAATAGTTTTGCCACTCTTTTCATTCTCAAAAATCTATTATTAGTACGATCGGTATATAAGCTCTGTATGGTTTCCGGAGTAAACTTCTTCTGACGACCAAAATCGGGAGTGATAGGATTCTGACGGTTCTTCGGATGATCACAAAATTGTGATTATCAGTGGTACCGACCCGCCCAATGGATGCTAGGGAATTTTTAAAGCACTGCATAGATGTGTTCGTTAAGGTCAGTATTGTATGGTAATACTAGGACAACTAGAACGGGGGTACTGGTCTTTGGCAGGATTTTCGCATAGTCCCATCCTCATTATGCATACAGTACGTTCTTGGATAAAGAATACAATGGCGAAAACAAAAGATTGCCTTTGAGACTATGACTTTGCCTTAAAGTAGTATGTGGATGTGGGGAAATCTTTCCGTGTATTTATATCCAATCAGTGCAAGTTAGATTTTTATTGGAAAGGGTTAAACGTTGTACCAACCTTCGATAAATGATATTTACAGTTTCATATGGATTGGCTTTCGAATCACGAGGAAACCTAGAAGTACAAATAAATCAGTCTAAAGTTGAAATAACAGAACCGTTGTAGTTATAATCTTACCTTTTGACTAGGGTTATAAAGTTTTATCTCCTCAAATTTTGTGGATTTGCTTCTGCCAATTAGTAATTTATTTCCTTCATCTGTTCTTCATAATTTTTTTTACTAACCTATGATTCATTGAATCATATTTCTGATATCTTTTTTAAAAAAAGATTATGACTGGGAAGCAACACTTCCCCACACACACAAAAAAACAACAACAACCACAACAAGCATACATTAAAGTGGGAGATGTAATTAATAAAAATTACAGATTGACAAACCTTTTTTTGGTGCCATTTGCTGGAGTGGCATATTCTTTATCAGATGTGAAAGTGATTGTTGGAAGAGGGCTTCCTCTGTCTTTTCGCAAGCTGGTGTAGAAAGAAATTAAGAAAGAAAAGGATGAAAATATGTACAATAAAATATGATTGTCAACTGCTTACCATAATTGATGACTGTAAAGACGAAAAGGGAGAAATGGACTTCATGAACTGATACATTGTCTGATACAGTCTCCTTTAAACAAGGCCATCCCTATCAAACTTGATAGTATTATTTTTTGTTCTTTAATTTGCAAAGCTCTCCATGCCTTAGCACATCTCAGAAAAATTAGCTCTCAAAACCTTCATTTTTTGGGTTGAATTTTTTTAATAAGTCCTATCTTTTCTTCAAGGAATTTGAATCATCAGAACTTGAGCTAAAAAACTTGTCAAAAAGCAAACAAAATTATGTTTGAGATAGCAGAATCATAGTGCCAGTTATCTAAGATGAGCCCATATGTTGTGTAACAAAAAGTTTTCAACTGATTGTACAATTATCTTGATTCCTACCGTTTCTTTCGACAGACAAACACAGCAACCACTGCAAGAAAGACTATTAGAGCAACTGCAATAATTGTAGCCACTACTTCCATTTGCAATCCTCCTACTGTCTCAGCTCTTTTTCCAGTTACTCTTGGATCTTCAAATTCTACATTTTCTGTTGGTAGTGTAATTTTGTCCGATTCACTAGGATATAGCACTGGTTTTTCTGAAGATGATTTAGTGGTTGGTTTAGTGAATGAATTTGAGGATAGAACTTTGGTGGGTTGAGCACTGGATGGTGCTGAAAAAGTCATTTGTGTTGGTTTGGCGGATGGTCCTGAAGACATCATTTTTGTTGGCGGGATGGATGGTGCTGAAGACGTCACTTGTGTTGGCTTGGAGGTTATTGTGGAAGGGGCTGGGGCTGAAAATAAAAAAAAATAAAAATTGACGTTTTGGTACAGGGCAAATATATCTTATCATTCCAAGCAATTTGAACTTCACAGCTAACAAATGATATCAAGTATCACAGAGTTCATGCACTTAAGCTGTAATACCTGTTCCAAATGTATCATTTTGGCCCTTGTAATTTAAATTTAGACAAGTAAGCTGTTGATGCAGTTGCAGAAATGACATCTTTTTAATATATTCATAATAAATGGTTTGTTTAGTTGTTCATGTTGTAATGAACTCTGTGCTCAAGTGATTCAATTTAATTAAAAGTAAAATCAAACCACAGCTAAGCAATAAATGTTTAGTTTCTTTTCTTTTCTAATTCCCCCGTAGCTGATGTTCCTTCATCACTGTACTTACTTCTAATGTTTGTACTTGTACACTGATAGAAAATTTGCAGTTGATGGTTTTCAGGGCCATTGGAACAACTGTAATCAAAAAGAGCTTTTTTAACAGTGATGTCACATTCCTTGGAATCCTGGCACATTGTCACAACTTTACTCTTAACATCCAAAGTTGGGCAAGATTGAGATGACAACTGCTGCCCACAACTGTGTGGAAAAGAACCATATGTGGCATGGAGGATTTTTATTGTGTATTGATATCCTGAACAGTTCAGTGCCAAAACATCTCCATCACAAGCCTTTTCAGCATGTATGTTGCCTGAACCTGTTGCAAAAGAAAGTAATATGATGAATATCAAATAAATGGTAATTTTTTTTGGCCTTTTTCTTTCATCCAATTTTGTTGCTACTTTGGCCAACATCTATTACATTCATATTACGTACAAATGTTTTGCTTTTCTTCTACTGACTTGGGATTTACCTCAAAAGTTTTCTGTCTCTGCTATTATATTGTTTAAGAAATAAACTGAATCTTTATGTTCAGACCTGTTTACATGGAGGTGGGGGGATCCCAGGTCCCTAATAATTGTTGCACTTACTCGATGGTTGAGTGCAAGGTTTGTAGTCTTTGAAAAATTTACAAATATATGCTATTTAATGATATACGAGCACAAATTTGCCACTGGTAACCCACCTGTCCATATAATTTCTTATTTTATTTTGATCACGTTTACATGATAGCTGGGGTGACCCACCTAGGTGGGTTGCCCAGTCTGCCAGGTAGGGTAACCTTGTCAGCCGGGGTGACAATTTGCCATGTAAACATGTCAAGGTGGGGTAACCCACCTAGCCGGGGTTGCGTTCATGACAAAAAGCTCAAAAGCAAAACACGTATGTTTTAAAACTTTGTTCATTTCCTAGCCATCTCATGGCAGAAATCGCCAGAAACCACAATGGACACACAAGGAGTGTAAAATGTTCACATTTCAGAATATTTAGCATTGTAAATCAACCATATTTGGTTTCCCAATCTATTCTGTATAACGTATTGTCAGTCAACGGTTCCTCGCGAAACCAAACACCACAATGAGTGACACTTTCGTGAATAAATACATTATTCAAGATGTGAGCTTGGGACGCCTCTGCTCAAACTCCTTAATTGCAAGTGCAACAACAACCTCAAGAAACCCTACTCTAGCACCCGGGGTTGTAAGATTGCATGTAAACATGTTTTATTTTTCGACCACGGTTAGGCAGGTTACCTAACCTACCTGGGGTCCCCCACCTCCATGTAAACAGTCCCTTATTAGGTTTATGCCCCTATATTTTTGTCTTTTTTGGTCTTGCTTTTACTTTTTCTAAATGACGAGACTGAGATAGTAAATAAAATGATGGCCAGGAATGAGGAATAGATAAATTCAAATTGGCCAGGAATGAAATAGTAAATAAAATGATGGCCAATACAACTCATAGGCACCATTATTAACATATATCAAGTTTATCTTTTGCATCCAATAATACCTGGTGTTATCGCAAGGTAATTAATCTGAAATCCTTTCTGGGCAGCATTGGTGTTGCCGGAATGAAAATTCACTCTGACTGTACTTGTTGTAGTAATTGTTAGCATAGACGTATTTCCATTACAAAATTTTCCACCAATGCGAGGAGATAAATCAGTGAGACCATCCTGAACTTCTACAAAATCTTCTTTACAGCCTGGTGGATTTGAACTTCGTCTCATGTCAAACTGTGTAAACATTAGTACTATGTTTTTTCCTGTTGGAGCTGAAATAATCCATACACAGTTTTTGTTGGAGGGGTAACTGATTGGAAAGCCTGGACTTGCAATGGAGCCGGAAGGATTTGTTGAAAAGTTTGAACAATCATCTGAAAAAAATAATTTTATAAAGAGTACATTTTTTATATTGTATAGGCTATCAAATATAATTACTACAATAATTGTAATTCCCATTTGAAGTTGAAAACCATGCAGAAAGTAACCTGAAATTTCATTTTGAAAAATTGTGGTAAAAACTTCTAATCAACATGTTACTGATTTTGTTTGTGCAATTATAACACACGATAAATTAACCCCTTTGACTCCTAAAAGTGATGTGCTTAATTCCCCTTTACAATATCATCCCTGAATCAAACATTAAGGTCATGAAAATAAAGGAAATGAACTCCAACTAAAGAAGCTCTGGATTGTTGAGCAAATTCTCCTTGTCAGCACATTAGAGAATGTATACTTTAGAGAAGTTCATTACGGAAAATACGCATACTAATGTTAGGAGGCAAAGGCTTTATTGGCACTGACAACATATTTGAGATTCATATACACTATAACAATATTCATAATGTTTGAAGTTCTTAAATGAAATATTATTATTCAAAAAGATACTACATTTACTCAAAGTTGTATTGATGCCAATTGAAATGAAAGATGAAACTTACAAATAGTTCAATTTTTAGAGGCCTTCACTTGAAAATTTACATTTTCTGGATAGCACTAGCTTACCAAGAGAATGGCGACAGCCTTAATGACTGTGCTTGTATTGTTAATGTTATCACTATACATGAACTTGTCGATATTGGAAAACTTTTCCCAAGTTCAAGGACAGTATTTACAAATAACAAAAATAGCCCTTACTCAACTAATCTGATTCTGTCTGTTTTAAAGTTAGCATGCTGTCTCATTAGCGACATATAATCCAAATTTTTACTGCTGACAATAATAACAAATGAGACGAAGGTGTATCGATCAAGTGAACCTACCAGCTTGATCACTGCAGCCATATACTTCAACTCGAAGACACATATCATATTTATAATCCTTCGGGTATATCCTGAGGTACCTCGTCACAAATGTATCTCTCAAGTTGTTCAGTTTCACACTGTTGGCATCTGAGTTTCCAATGAATGACTGAAAAAATACCAAAAGAGAATTGCATTTCCCAGCATTGTAAACACACAATTGTGAATGTAAAAGAAACTTCCCCTAAGACACATTGAGGATTACACACCTTGTCAGGACCATCACCAGTGTCTTTGTAAGTTAACCACGCCCTTCCATCATAGCTGTACTTAATCATATATGTCTTAACATAGTAGCTCAAGTAATTCCAATTTTGTACTCCTTGTGTAGCAATGGCTGAAACATGTCTGACCCTCAGCAGGTCTATCTCAAAGTACTCAGATGTTTTATCACTGTTTGCACTGCACCAAGCTCCATTATTATAGTTCAATCTACCATGCTCAGGAAGCCAGCCAGAAGAAAATGTGTGACTGCTTATCTGGAAATCTTTTATTTTGTTGCTTTCCATACCAAGTGCATCTGAGCAACCTAAAAGGATTAATGAGAAAAAGTCAATTTTTCATTTTATAGGAGATGTAAGGATTGAGATAGTCAAGAAGAATGTTACTAAATTCCAGTCTGTCTAAAGCTGTGTGACTTCCTTAGCTGACTTTCTTTCTTTGCTTTTCTTTGTTTTGGAATCATTTGGGCTTTATATACTTCTCATCTCAGTAACAAAAATGCTGCTAGTTGAATTTACTTTGGTGGCATTAGCAAGGGAGCTAAAAGAAACTTTCTTTTACTGCCTCACACATATATCTTGGAATTTTAAGTTTCCCTGTCAGGTGCGTGAGTGGAATTGTTTCTGCAAGAGGTTTACTAGTCCATACAATTTTATGGTGACCTTAAAATAATTGGTTCAGTTTCATCTTACCATGAAGAGTTATTTTGAAAAACTTAGTCTAAGTTCATTACTACTATTTCCTTTCGAATATGCTAATTTACCATATGACAGCCCATCAAAAATTTAGACAGGTGTTGTCAATTTTCTGGGAGTGCTACGTTCGTTTGTGAGATGCTTATCCAGCCAGATGTTATGAATTTTCTGGCAATGTTTGAGTGTATTTGCCCATGATGATCAAAATATTGTAATAAGCCCCAAGTATAACAACAATCATTGTGTTTTAGAAACAAGCTTAAAATACTGATATACATTATTGACTTCGTGTAGCAAATAAAAAAACCAAAATAATAAAATGATGATGTACAAGAAACTTCCCATTTAGCTAAGAAATACCATTGTGGCTTGAATATATTATAATTGTTGAAGTTAACGACTAAGTAATGAAAATATCTGTAAAGTATTTTTGTCTCACCAGGAAATAAAAAGTGAAATATTTCCTTAAAAGGGGTGGGCGTTAGAGGGGCCGGTCAGTTGGCAAAATACCACAAAGCAAATATTTTGTCTCGTGAATGTTTTCCACGACTCAAAGGAGCTTTTTTCCTTTCTTTTTCTTTCTTTTTCGGATCCACGGTGTAAAACATACACCGAATGATAGCGGAAAAGTGTACATTCTTCCAGGATTTATCTCTAACCCGAATCTCATTATGCAATGTTTGTTTATGAGGTTCATGCAAATGAAGAAAACCGCGTCTTTGAGAGCGAGCCAAAATTCGTCTCACTAACAGTTCACCCTGAACGAACGGAATTTTATACGTTTTGTTTACACTGAAAAAGTGCAGAATAAGCGCTTTCGTAGGTTTTAATAACTTGAACTGGCTCTCACTTAATCAACCTAAGACAATGATAGTGCACACGTTATATGAATAGTTCCCGTATCTTTCATTAAGTAGGCTTAATCTTTTTGTTTACAACGCACAAATGCAAAAAACGACTTCGCCATCGATTGAACTGATCCCCACTAGCTCTTACTACACAAAAACCAGGAAAGTCTACAAGGTACATTTTCATGAAACCAATTTCAAAGACAATGCATTGAATCTACGTAAGGACTATTGTGCTTCGAAATGGCTCTTGATAAATATCACTTACGACTATTCTCTTTTGTACTACGAAAAACGTTCTTATAAGTACTTTGGGGAAATTTGAAATTTTCACAGCGAAGATAATTAAAGTTGGCGTCAGGTTACCATATCTATTGGCAGTCCGTGATTAGTGAAAGGGGGAAATAAATTCTTTCCAGGAAATAGAACAGAAAAGATACGTAGAAACACGTTCTCGAATATATTAGGCTATTATATTTCTTTACTTCGTCGCTCGATGAGTTGCGATGTTTATCTGTAAGCTTAAATCCTGAATTATTTCATGAAAACGTTGAAAGGATTCTTTTTACGTTTGCCTCGTGCTTATGATTAGCTGGTATGAGGTGTGAAGAGGCTATTTGAACAACTTTACCTTGGCGCGATGCGTCGATGAAAAGGAAACATCGGGCCACGTAAACTGCGAAGAAGAGTGCGAGGTGAAAATTCGGACCCATCTTGACATTCATAGAAGCCAACTCGTTTTAAAGTAGGCCGGGAAAACTCTAGAGTAGAATTACAAAAGAAAAAGAATGTTATTTGAGAATTTGGTTGAAAAAAATTTCAGCAGGCGATCTACTTACTTGATTGCGTTGCGTTTTTACGGCTGAAGAGCGATTGTGTGTAAGGAGTGGAGAGGGCATGGGGAGGGTATGTCTAGGGCGGCGGTGGGGGAGGGTCAATGACGCAAAAAAAATTTTCCTGTCGGTTGCGTGAAATAATGCTAAGTATTGAAAAAGTTGGTCCAAAGAATAGTCAAACCACAATAGATCCTAACAATAATGATTTTCTATAATTATCTTAATTTTATGAAGGACAAAAAGCATTATAATTATTAGAAGAAGTTTAACATTAGCCTCGTGTCCAGACTCCCAAAGCTTGTCGGGATCTGGGAACGAATCAGGGTTGCTGCGGTTACATAAGAATTTGCTTGCGTCAAGCATATAATCTTGGAGCTTGTGGCCAATCTATAATTAAAATATCCGGAATCACGAAGCAAAAAATTCCTTGATTCTAAATTATTTTTCCACATCAATATGTCAGAATTTGAAAATTCAACAATGTCGACGCCGTAAATCGGTTGAAACCGAAAACGTCCACAGATCACTGAGTTTGATTGTCATGTTTCTGATTAAACTTTTTTATGTTTAAATTTTTTTTGTTTCGGTTTTGGGTGTTTGTTTAATGTTTTCAATTTTTGATGTCTAGTTTCCGAAAAACAGGAAATACTTTATATGTTGTCGAAGTTTTGATTTTAAAAATTGGATTCGCCGAAAAACTACCTGAATCGACCAAGTGTTTACAGTGATATAGGAAATCAGAACCTATATTATAGAGCTCTTCATTAATAATGTTCAGTTCTTCCAGGGTAAAGCACAACTGGTTTTTTAGTGAAACTGCAGTGTTGAGTTTCACTTTGACCACTTCTTTTCATTGTTTTTATCTGGATAAAATTGGAAAAACACCAACGAAACCGGAAAACTTATGTCTGGCGCCGAAGCTAACTGAAGTAAGATTGTTAAGATTGCTACGATCTTTAATTATATAGGATTGCTGATCCTGCATGCTTAAAGTTTAAACTGATAAAGTTCTTGATTGTTTCTGGCAAAAATGTTGTGTTGTTGTTGTTTGCATGATGGCAAAAGAGGAAAATAGACACTTCACACTGAGGATGGTGGTTAGTAAAGGTTAATGACAGTCTTGAGGACAGTAACCAATTACTTCGTATTGGTTAGAAAAAATGGGCTATGTACAGCATCGTCAAGATGTCTCCTTCGATTTCTCGCCTCGTGGAATTTTCCGAAATATAGAAGTAGATCGGAAATAACCAGTGAATATTGCTGTGTTAAGACACCGGTATAAGTGTCTATATGTTTCTTGTGCAGAAGACGATGTTCAGTTTGCGTGCAACTCAGCAGGCAACGGGCTTTACAAAAATATTGTAAGTGGAAATATAATAACTCTTTGCGTTTTGTAATTGGTCATGTAATGATCAACCACAGCAGCAGTAATTAAGCTCCAAATGGCTGTATGGATGTGTTACTGTAGAATCATTTTACAAAACCCTGAGAATTTTCTCTGATCGGGTTCAAAATGATCTCAAATTCTTAAAATTTATCTGCGACTCAAAAACGAAACAAGCTATCTCCTGTTTGAGAAGTTCCAAGTTGAAGTTTAAAGTGGAACCTACGATAGGATGTATATATTGGGCGAGTGCTTGAAAGGGGTTTACACAGTAGGGGGCAAGTTTATGACGAGCCAAAGTCGGCGAGTTTCCTTTAGCTTGGAAGCAATTAAACTAACAAAGAGAAGTTTACCTACGCAGACAAAAATAAGCAGTTCGTGGCTATTACAAGCTTTCCTCTTCAGTTGTAGAAACAATGAACAGAATAGTTATACATCAAAGGCTATGTTAAGCGCGACTGTAGTGATTAGCAAAGGGTAAGTACATATCGAGCGGTGCATACGGAAGGGGGTACGCTGAAAACAGTCAGGTCGTTTTACGGTCTGAAGGCACCTGGAAGAGTGCCAGACTGTCTGCCACCTTTTTCTCGACTGTTCGTTACAACGCTTTCTATTCATCCTGAGCGGCTGAACTGCATAAATATGGCCTCTTGCTGATGTAAATGAAACCAAAAGTAAACTGATCAGTGGATACGCGTGCGTAAGTTTCGATGTCTCATTCGTTTTCAATTCCTGAAGTATTCTACAGTTTTGGACGCGGTCCAACAAATATCGTAATTTGTCCATGACAAGCAGAGTAATTAATCACAGAAGGCTGAGGCAAACAATTGATCTGCGAGACGCTGATAAATCACAATTTAGTGATAATTAAGTTCAGCTATAATCTTATCATCCGGTTACTGCCAGGTTTGCTTTCCATGCTTGTTTTCGAGATCCGCTCGCTGAAAGCTTAGGGATATAATTTTCCATTTTCTATGGATCAGTGAGAAGACAATTATGTACGAAGAAGATTTCATTGGCGGCAAACTGAAAATTAGACGATATGACGTATGAACAGACTATTATATGTAAACAGTTTAATATTTGCATGACATGCAGTTGCCTCTCGGCCAATGAAAAGTAAGAAGAATTGTATCGAATGATAATAGAAATTTAAGGGTTATTGAAAAAAGTTATTGAAAAGGTATTCGAGGAATATCATGACTTGTCAGTAACAAGCATATTCGAATCGTTAATAAGTTAATAACTGATTTGCGTCACGATATTACGCTTTTCCTCGTCCACCAATTGTAAATTATATATTGAGGTGAATTACTCATACGTTTTGGTTGATTCTTACCGATGATCTATTGGAGGACAAACGTATAGATGACCTCAACGGTAACATCTTTTGCTTCTTTATCATATAAGACAAGTTAAAGACAAGTTGCCGTGTGTCTGTTCTGTAATAGATCACAGATGAGGTCGCAGCGCAGCATGCGTTATTCAGATCAATATATATAATGAACAATTTTTGGCACCGTCATGTGCGATATTCGTCGCTCTTTCTTAGAGCAGTCCGCGCAACAGCCTTGAACTGATCCTGTTAAATGGCAGGGTTCAGTCGGCCAAACATGACTTACATGGCTGGCACGTGGTTAAAAACACCTGTAAACAGCTTCTTGGAAACGAATTCACGACCGGTTTTTTATTTTGTCTATTTTATTGTTTTGTTTTATTATTTTTTTATTCAGTGATCTGAACACCAGATATTCCGATAAGCCTTCCATCGCAAATCTTTCAGGTAAACATTTGGTGATCTTATTCCCATCTTGGTTTTACCGGAATTAGAACAAAGGCGCTGTGTCTTTTGATCGTCCCGAAGCAACATTTTTTTTTGGTGATGGCAAACGAGGTTTCTGCTTGTCGGAAGGAAATTGAAGAACCAGGCTCTCAGGAAAAAGTCAACTCAGTAATAAAAGCTAGGGACACGCCCTTTCCGTTTTATTTCGTTGAAGTTGAAAAATGTGCTTTCTATTCGTATGTAAAAGCCGATGAGGATCTTCCATCAAAATATTTTTGCACAACCAAATAAATAAAGAGAAAGAAAGTGATAGGTCACCAGAATCGTTGACGAGAAAATGACGATTTACCAAAGGTGATCTTGGCCAAAAAGAGTATTGAAGGAGCTGCCAATTTCAGGTGGCTATCTTCGTTATGTTATGCGCAGTAAGGAGAAGCATAGCGCATTCCTCGTTAATGATCTCCGTCTCTTTCCCAGAGCCTCCGGTATGCTCATCCACTGGTCGAGGTTACGAGGGCTCTGGGTGCGAGATTGTAATGACCTTCTACTCGACCTCGTTCCCAAGGTCTTCTCTCTCCTGCACTTTACCGAGGGAAGAAAAGAGGGGAGTTTAAACTGAGTACGAGGAGTCACTAAACGCTTAAGTTTGCCAGGAAATAAAGCTTTTTGTTTAAACCCAGCGTTATTCTTAAATTTTTGTTAAAAAATCGCGGCCTCTCGAGACGATGTCCAAGCCTGTGTCGGCCATGTTGATTGATGAGTAATGCTTTCTCATACCGGCTGTTTTTAAGACGATCTTTGCCAAGTGCCTAAGGCTCTGAGTCGATGGTGTTGTATAGTACTATGTCGAACCACATCACTAAATTAATACGCAGGCTGTGATTAATCAGTTTGGTGTTAAATTGTACCACACACTACAATTTAATGGTGTTTTGAAGATGAAATCCTTTCCTTTCTATCTATCGCCGAGGGTTGTTAACTTTGCTGGTGAATGCAGACCAAATTTTCTTTGAGTTTTCTTTGAGTTAACTGGTGTTGAAGATTAAACAGCGATTTCGAATCGACACGTTCTGCTATCGACGTGCGCCAGTCTTATTGAAACCGTTCCGTGTGATTGAAAATATCTCCTCAACATATCAGACGCACTGCAGAGAGATAAAAGATATCGCACTTACCTCTCCTCGTCGGTCTGTGCAGCAATTTACGGATCCTCGTCTCAAACTCAAATATTAAGTTTTTTTGGCAAAAAACGGTTGCACAAAAAGAATCCCGGGAACGAGTTGGACTTCGGGTTGGACATGGAGTTGGACTCCAAGTTAAAGTTCGCGTCAAGAGTTTGAGAAAGAGTAGAAGTTTAAACTTTTTGATTTATACTTCGAGTTAAAGTTCGAGATGGGCATCGATTTGGACCAGAGTTAAAGTTCAGGTGAAACTTCGTGTTGAATTGCCATAAAAATGCTATAAAAATGCCATAAACGAAAAAAAGAAAAAAACAAAGTGGAGAGGGTAGGGAACAGGGGCCCCCGCAAAACTAAAAGTAGCCATGTACCTAATTCTGGAATTTTCGCATCCCGGGGAGGATTTCCATGCCAAAGAAGCCGGGAGGCAGCTAAGGGACATCTCACCACTGACCTGTTGCTTTTGACAGGACAAAAACAGCTTCCTCGTCGTAAGATATGTTAAATGTCTCCCCTTATAGGTTAGGAACATCATTTAAGTATTACTCGTTAGAGCTCAGCTAATAGTGCCATACTCTCCTTCGCAGTCGCTCTCTGGGATATATCTTGGGAAGAACGTGGCGTGACATCCCATACCGCAGTCACATCCCGTGACATCCCATACCGCAGTCAATTGGCGCCACATCCCGTGACATCCCATGCCGCAAAGAACTGCCGCGAGGGAGTCAATTAGCACCACAGCACAACGATATCACGAGGGTGGGAGGGTGATAGGTCTGTCAACACTTTTTACCATCATGGCACCTTGCGCTTTTTTAATTCACGAGAAAATTTACCCCTCTCATGCACCTGCTTCTACATGGATAGATTTCTCTTAGCGTAAGAGATGGGTATGGCTACCCTACAATTGCTTATTCCTAAATGAAAAATCGTTTCTTGAGAAGGAAACTGATACTCCAGCGATGAATCACCATGAACTACTTTGATTACTATTTTGGAAAGTGACTCGAAGTCCAACTCGACTGCGACTCGAGCATGCCTCACTCCCACTTTGGGGTCCCGGACGTAGCACGTGCTTAAGTTCGACAAACATGACATATTTATTTTCTAGGAATAAGAAGGTGTTCCCTGCCCCCCCAAAATGTAAAAATTACGTAGTGTTTAGCAGGTGCATCTAAGGTCTTCTGAACTTATATCAAATGACCGAAAAGTGTCAGGAATAATCGGTAATCTTTGGCAGCACAACCCAATCTCGATTTTGCCCTTTCCTAATGAATAACATAAATGTGACTCAATGACTATGAAATAACCAAGACTGTCATACGCGCGCGCTCTCATTTGTTGTCAGTCGGTGTGTTTGGATGGGGTATGTAAAAATAGTTTGATGTGTTGCATGGGCACACAATTTCGAGAAAAAATTTTTAAAAGCCAGCAACAGAAGATCCTCTGGAAAGTGACTCGAAGTCCAACTCAACTGCGAGTGCCATTTACTCAGCTTCACCTAAGACCTGGAGTGGTTGGGACAATCTTCGAAAGGCGTGCCGACACGAAACACAATCGAAGATTTATACAAATGTCTCTTATTTTCAAACCAAGGCCTTCATTATTGATGATTCAGTAAGGCTGTTCGTTCACCAGCGCATAGGTTTGATCCAAGGTGTTGAGCAACGCGATCCGGTGAGAGGTCTGGAATAGGGCTTGAACTGCTTAGTGCCAGATCCCCGCCGGCCAGCTTTGCTCAAGACCTAATCTTACTCGCGGGCGAAGGAACACTTTGCGCTGCAATGCTTACAACAAGAGCCAGCTCGCAAGTTACCCACGCCTCCACTTGTGTTTACTCATGGTTATATAAAACCATGTGAGGGCGAAAAAAGTCGATCCGACTATCTCGTAAATGATAATATGCGAACAACAGTGCTAGTGCGCTTCAGTTGCTAAAAAACACAATAAGTCTTTATTCCTGACTGCATGAAAGTTTTGTTTTAAAAACTTAAAAGAAAATATTTACTCAGAATAGTCGCGAATTTCTCTATAGTTTTATTAACGTTAGAATTCGCTTCCTTCTTGCGAATGTCTTTCTTCTTGGTTTGAAATTTTGATTTAGTCCTTCACTTGAGTATTTTAAGTTAACCCAGTATGAGTTTGAAATAAGCCTTAACTCGAAGGTAGAGAGGATCTCGGTCTGATGGACACAAAAATATGACAATAATCCGCTTATTAGACCCTTAACAGCCCGGCTTGTGACGTCACATAGGACGGTCGCGGCATCCAACTGCTTATGATCTCTACGTCTCAATTTTTTTTGCAGCTGTTGACCGGAATTTCGCATCACTGTTTTCTTCTAGAGACTTCTTCTAAATTATAACCACGCCATGGGGGTAACCTGTACGACTCATTATTTTCCTCAGTCGCTTCAGGAATCTGCCTCGTTGTCCTCAAAGCTCTACAAACCATTTCCGAAGAAAAAACGCAGTACTCGCGGCGGTGTAATTATGCAATTAACGGGGGAAGGACTAGCAAGTAGCATCCCTCCACGACACATCAACGACCTGATCTCCTCAGTTCGATATCATTATCAATACCAGTGTTCATTTGCCGCCCAGGATGACTCCGAACTTATTTACGGTGAGAAACGATACACAATATTTAATCACAGATTACATGATTTAGATTAGCATGTTTCGAGCACATATGCACTTCAAATCCAAAAGGAGCGTTTCCATCAGTGACCAATGACAAAAATCAATATTGCATTTTGGATTTGACCATGTATATTATGTTGTGACGAGAATTGGAAGCCTGTTTAATTTTTAATTTGAAAAGATTGTGATAAACCGATTTTAAAATAACTGTTTCGCTGGTTTCTTTGACAATATTTTGATATGCATGTCAAGATCGTATTCAAGATTTTTTTTTATATAATTTTATAATGATTTGCTGCAGCCGTACTGTTTTACTTGCACCTGTACACACATAAATGAAAACAATATTCCCTTTTTAAAAGAAATGACGGATTTTCGCCCGGCGTTTCGATCAAGAGACCAAAAAACTTTTTTCCATGAGATTAAAAAAGGAACTAACGGTCATTGAGCGTTCCTTTAAAATTTTGTGTGCGATAAGCTTTGTAGACGAATCGATGAGGAAAATGGCGAAACGTAGGAGGGAATGTCTAGAATATATTTAAGACTGCGTGGATCAAAACGAAAGCAGAAGGTTTATCATAAATGCAAACGGTGTACCTAATTTTCATTTTTGTCAATGTGTGATAATCAAAATAGACGAGCCGACTGATTCAAAGAGCGTTTGCTCTGCGAGGATGGATCGAAGGCACAATCTTAATTGTAAATCAGCTATTCTATCATGTTCTTAACAGTTTTGCATATGACAATAACAAGCCGCACGGTCATTAAAACTCGTTCATGCATCGGTGTCAGCTGAAATCTAATTTTCCATCCTTTCGCAAGATAGGTGGCACAATGTAAGGATCATTTAGCTCCGCGGCCAACCCGCCCTGTCAAATTAGTAGAGAAAATAACCATGTAACCAAGTAACCGTACAAAAGGCTCTCTTGTTTATGGCGGGGCCTTACCTATTCGGGATGGGCGTCGTTTCGCCATTGTAGACTATTGTGATCTAATGGACAAAAAAGCGAAAAGTAAAAACATTAGAAATCAGTCAATCGGTCATTACTTATCGCCTGGGGGGTAGAGTGGGGTTTGAAGGATTTTATCTTTTGGGATGGGGATCAAATGGTTTTCAGGGGGGACGGAACGGGGATTACATGTCACTAACAGAATATAAATGGAGGACAATAGAAAATTTAAGAATATTACGTAGCCTCGGGAGGGTTAGATAAATTTTGTTGCGACACAATTAAAATCCTTCAACCCCCCACTCCCTCAAGTAATTACTGTTTTTCCAGTTGAAGCGAAAAAAAAACTGTTTTTATTCGATGTGGTTGGCGCAGCTAATATTTCGTAGTTCTTGGCTGCACTATATTTTGGCTGCTCTTAACAGTGTTTTTTTTTTCAGACACGATGGAGAATTAGATATATTTCATTACGGTATACCGTTTCTATATCAGTCTTTATCCTTGCTACTGGCTAATGTACATTCAAATGATAGCAGATAAATGTTGTAGCTATAACAAAAAATTTACACGAGATATTTTGTTTTCTTAGCTATTAGCGTAATATCATCACTGAATTGAAATTACTTGTTAACTGTAATACCTAATAGAGACACTGACTAGTCTCAGAACTTTTGAAACTTTTTCAACAGTATTTAAATCAACTTCAATATTCATTTCTCTACCACAGTGTTTCACTTCAATGGAAGCTGGGGCTTTTAAGTACGTGAATATTCACAACTCAAACTAGGTCCAAACTGTTGCTAATTGTAATCCAATATATCATTAGTAAGAATACATATGTATATCAAAATGCATGAATAATTCAGCTTATTATTTAATCTTATATGTCTCTTTCCAAGGAGTTGTGGTGGAGCCAACATCTCACTTGGCTAAACATCCGACCTATACTTCGCGCACGTGCACATGGGACTTGGCATCCTCACCCTCGACGGCTATTACCAAGTATCATTGCGCATTAACTTCTGGTCCTTGGTCGATCTCGCCGAATGGGCAACAATTGTGCTGCTTAGCCATGAAACAGGGCGTACACGAAGAGGAAGATCTTTTCTTGTCGAGGTACGACTCTACACCGCAGAAATGTACTCCTTGTAACATCCCAGGAAGTTTGTCGGAATATCGACGGATTTATCCCCAGGAATGTCCGTACTCACACGATGGGAACACGATTGCTTCAATTCGCGTTGTTGCTGGAGCTCTCCAATTGGCAATCACTGCTGCGCGTAACGGAAAGACCATTTGTAGTGAAAGAGTCAGCAAAGTTTGCTTTGGTTTTCGTGGTGCTGTCGTTAATTGCGCGTTCTCTCCAAACGACCGCCTTCTTGCAGTTACTTCCTCGTACGGACAAGTATATTTATTGAACTCTACCAGGTTAACACGGGTGAACAGTTTAGATTGTGTGTCTATTCTGTCTCCCTACAAAGTTTCAGAACTTGCCAATGGAAACCCGGAAGACTTCGTCACGTATTCCGTTTGCGTGTTTGATCCACGTTTCCCTTTCCAAGAGTTCGTCACTTGCGTCCTGTACGCTGGGATAGTAAAGATATGGCAAATGTCATGTTGTGATAAAAAAGATTCAGAGATTCAAAACAGACACACGCTAACCTTCAAAAAGCTATTAAACGTGGTAAGGTATTCTCCCAATGGAACGATTTTGGCGGTGGGAGGAAAAGATGGGACCATTTCTTGTATAAATGTTGATGATGGAACCGTGAGCTTTGTTCTTGATGTCACACAACAGCCACTAGAATTCCACAGTTCTGCAGATGTTTTTCACGTGGCATTCACGCAGAGTGGAGAGCAACTCGCTGCAAGTTACAGCGATGGTTATATACGAATTTGGCAACTGCCGATAGTTTTTGATTTGAAGTTGCTTTGTCGACTAGTGGTTAATGCATGCGTCCCACCCAACAAAGTTCTCCAGCTTCCACTACCTCTGAGACTTCAAAAATTCCTTCTAAACATAAATTTTTAATGGTTGTGGGGGAACGTCACACGTGGCGTGCGAACTAATGATCCCATGAACACGCAAACCGCCTGAAGAGCGAGAAAACGTGAACGACTATCTCACGATTAGTATAAAGTTTTGATTGGTTGAGTAAGATTGGTTGAAAGTAGCTAAGCTAACCATACAATTAAAATCTGAAGAGCAACCTGCTTTTAAAATAAATAGATACAGAATCAGACATGAATGAATTGTTAGCTGTCTCGATCATGTCCCCATTCTATAGAGTTGGGTCCCAGATCATCATCAAATAATTATCTTAAATCTATAATTACAAGAAATAAGCTCAGCGCAAAACCTTACGCAAGAGAACGCAATTCCTCTCTCATGCCACCAAGTTTGTTTCAGGATGTATTTTTTTGGTTATTCGAAGTACACTCACTCCCTTAGTGTGAAGGGAGACATCGATAGAAACTTTTTAACACTAACTCCTACTGCTCAAGCTTTATCATTTCTTAAGGGAAACGTTTTGAAACTACCTTAGAGAAAGTTGCTATGCAACTGTCGCTCAACATACATAAGTCAGATATAGAAAATTGTAAAAAAAAAAAAAAAAAAAAAAAAGGAAAAAAAAAAGAAAAAAAAGTATTACTATGATAATACTTTTTGTCTTTTGTCTTTCTATATGATAAATGTTAAAAAATTTTCTCGTGCTCTTTCTCTATTTTTTTATTTCAATAACTGGAAAGGCACAAACTACTTCACTGCGCGCGGTTCTTCCCGTAACATTTCACCGAAATCGCATAACAATTAATTCTCATACAATACTTCTATAATTAATTTGATAACAAAGATTCAAGTAGTTTTAGAAAATCCTGGTAGCCTTTTATTCCCCTCCTGACCTGAGTCAAGCTTTTTAAATTGTAAAAATACCCCTCTGCGCCCAATTGTAGTAAAGTCGACACAGAGGCGTGACATGTAAAATACTCCTAAAAGGCTTTGAAGACGAACAGAAAAACACAGCATACAGCAGATTGTTGGGTTATTACCTTCAAACTTCGAAAAAAGGTTTTGGGACAACCAACTCAAACCGAAATTGCACCGCATTGAAACAAAACTGCCGCAGTGAATCTCTTAGCCACCCTCCCCCCCTCCTTCGTGCAAAAATATTAGGACCCATAGGACCCCATAGAAGCCCCCTTGCCCATCCCAACCCCCCAAAAAAAGCAAGAGTAGAATGGTGGATGGATGGATGTCCTTCATTGCAATATTTTAGCAAGAAAATTGAAGAGTTTTTCTCTTGGGAAATTTAAGTTTAGTTTGAGCTTTCAGTTTTCCATGTAACTAATGTTCATACTTGGCGCCCACAAGCTCCCAAAAGCCTGGGTTTGACTAGTGACGTTGCGAGTGTCTGCGTGGCTCCCATTGGGAAAATCAATATGGCGGAAGACAGTACACCGGTATCGAGTGAACAAAAACGACCTGTTGACGACGATATGAGAAAGCTTTCAGAAGATGGAAAATTGGAACAGAAAGAATACCTGGTGTGCTTTTCGTTTTTCGTCTTTTTATTCTTTTGCATGCTTCGTTTTAGACCATAAGTCCCCACAAACTATTTTGGTAGTTCTTGCTATGTAGAAGTAAATTTTTAGATATTGTTTATAGATCAGCTGTGTTGTTGATTTATGGATGAGACGGAAATAGTTACAACAGGTTCTGAAATTTTAAAATTCTTCTATGATTGTTTTGTCGCTTGATACGTGTTGTTTTTTTCAATTCATTTTAGGAAACATACAATGTTGTTCTTAGTTGTGTCAAGTCCTTGTTTGATTTGAGTCGGTGAGTTTGCTTGCAATTTTGTGTCCAAGATCGTTTAAAAGGGAAGTCTTTTTTCTCGTGATGTGTTGATGTTTAGCTTTTAAATATGTCTGGCGATATTTCTTGACAAATAAGTAAAATTTTTCTCTGTTTTAATGTGTCATATTGAACCATGAGAGTCATTAGGGCTATAGCTTGCACATGTAATTACATGTTGTTCTTGTGAAATGTTTATACGTTGTTGTTATTTCGATATTCTTGAACAGGGACAACGAGCACAAAGAGGAGAGTCTGTCTGAGGATGTGGAGGAACCACAATCGTAAGCTAGCTGTTTTGCTCATTTGTGAAAGAAATTTCAACTGTTTCCTCTGGTGTTGAAGTGAAAGATAGCCTTAGGATTAGCTGCTCTATTATATCTTGGCATGGGGTTATGCTGCCCTCCCATGCTAAGTAATTTTATTTAAGTGTAGTCATGTTGTCCCCTCCCTTCCTGTTAGTTTGACTGAAGTGAGTGGTCTTTCATCACAATTGCACTTGAAGGTTTGATGTTAGAAGCATGAGGGGATGATGCAAGTTTTTTTTATTGTTTTGATCAATGAGAGTCACATTGGTTTAGTGGTGACTGCATAGGATGACCTAGGATTGCACATCAAAAGGTCTAACTAGCTGTCAGCCTTGGCTGGATTGCTGTGTTTTGTTCTTGGTTAGAACATATAACTCTGTCAGTGCCCCTCTCCACCTAGGAGTATAATTGGGTACTGAAGAACTGTTGGGTAAACCCAAAAATGCTAGGAGGTTACAAACCTAATGCAATGAACTATTATACCATTCAGGGAAGGGGAAAGGAGTGTGGAAATATTTTCACTTCATGCCACTACAACCATGACAAGTTCTGAAAGGATAGGCTGTAAACTAACTCAACCTTTTGTCACTGTACAACAAGTTTAAAACTTTGACCACATTAGAAAAATTGCTGATAATTCTTGATACCTTAGGGTCCAAACCATTCATTTTATTACATCGATAATTCATGCATTAGCCCTTAGTCAGAGGAATCTAATTCACTCTGATGAAGGGCTGACATTCAAAATGCAAGCTTTAGAATCTCTTTACTATGCCCAATTCACATTATCAACTCAGTTGATAAAACCAAAATATCCTGTTATACCTTTCCCCCTCTTCCGCTTAAGCAGCAACACAGTTTCTTAGGAACTTGCCTCCTTAATTTATTCCTTATCACATTGAGTCTTATTTTCTCTCCGAGTTACTTGACTACACCTCAATTAAGCTTTTGCCTCAAGCAGATCTAATCTCACTAAGTAATTTATTCTAGTGTTGTTGAATAGATTGTATTAACCCTTAAACTCTCCAAAAAGAATATATACAGGTTATGTGTAGCACCAGTATGTTCTTATTTATGACTCCCAACCCGTAAACTGTCAAATTTAAATTCAAAAGCCATGAATATTTAAAACAGGAAGAAGTGATTTTTAAATGTGTTTCCAGCTGGTTTTTCTTCATTGTTAAAACATTCTCACTTATGCATATGTTAAAACATGTGGTTGTTATGGATATCTTAATGTCATTTCAATTTACATAATATTTTTGATCAGAAACTTGAAATCTAGTTTGGTGCACATATATGCATTTGAAATTTGATGCAGAAAATCTACAAGCAGCATGGTGTTGCTGCTTGAAGTGAAGATTTAGCCTTTTCTTTTTATGTGAAACAGTTTTGATTTAAATAAAGTATGGTTTTAAGTTTTAATTACCTCCATATTTTAAATGTGAATTGTTATTATCATTAATATTTGTCACCTGGTTACCATAGGAACAAACATCTTATTAAAGTATGTTCTTTTATTCTTGTGGTTAATTTTTTTATCACAGAATTATTAACTTTTTTATTTTTGATTATTATACAGGAAAACAGAACTGAGCAAAGTGCTGTCTCAAATCTGTGGTCTAGTGAATCATGAAAAGCCACAAACACAGTAAGTAGTCCTTATCAGTTTCCTTTACTCAGCACTTACATGTATATACTGGCTTTTATTCAAAATAAACAGAGAATGATAGCCAATCCCATGTAATGGTCAAACTTAGCAATCAATTTTTTGTTAGCTTTTCTTAGTTTTTATTGCCTGAACCAATTTATACTCCTGCCAGGGTAGACACATTGTACCTTAGGACATGAAGTGGTTTCTCTTCATCAATCTAGAGCTTACAAACAGTGCTGTGGAGTATGTGGACCATGATGAGTTTATTGACCCTGATAATTTGAATGAATATGACCCAGAATCCCAATTCTCAAGAGTTTTATTGTTCAGTGATGAAGAATGGAAAAAATATTGGGAAAGAGAAACCACTTTTAGTCTCAGTTTACTATGATATTGTTGCCACAGAAGAATAGAGATCGTTATTAAAATTGTTGGACGTAATTGGAGTTAGGTCTTTTAAGTAACAGATATTGTCTGTGAACAAACACAGATTCTTTTGCATATGGGCCCTCTGCACATGATAATTAAATAAAGTCAGTATAGTGTGTACCATTTTGCTGTGAAAATAAGACCTTGCTGCAGCTAAGTGGTGTGTCAATGACATATAATTTAGAAATGATATCAAGGCTTGAATAGAAAGTCTTACCTTTTTAAACTGTCCGCACACTGAGAGAAGCTAATGATACATTCCTTGTTATTTGAAGGTTCACCTGTGTACCAGATCATTACACTCACATCAACATCATTGGAAAGACCCTATCATTATATTTATCCTTGTTGGATGAAGCTTGTGTAAATAAATTGTCTGCATGTATCAAGTCTGACTGCTCGCATTGGCTATCTAAGCTATTTGGGTAAGAAAGATCTACCATAATATAAAATTGAGATTGACCTATTGAAACAAATATAACACCTTGCATTTCACTCTTTGAAAGTTTTGCAAATAAGGCTAATATTCATCACCGAAAAAAAAAGCACTCGTATGTGAAACTTTTGAAGCAAGTCTAATGCATAAAGAGTCAACTGATTTTCAGTGTTGTTTTAAGGTAATTCAATAGATGCATGATATGAACTGAACAGGCCACAGAATTTAATTATACCTGCTTGGCAATTATGGCATTTGCAAAGAAATGTGCCTTTCTTGAAGTTGCCACTAGTAAAATCCAACTTGAGGAATTTAATTAATTGAAATTGAAAATCCACCGTGTTTCATATACACTCTATTAAATTTACAGGTATGAAAATGCTCTGTGTTGCTTTCATGAACACCAGTGGGATGGGTTGGTACGAGGTAAGGCTTGTATTATTCTAACACTATATAGAACTATAGGTATGCTGATGATCATGCCTTTAATGGCACTTTAACCTGTGAGCTCAAACACAGATCTTTATTCAGTTTGCAGATTGGCTTTAAGATTGAAATACCCTAAATTTGGAACAGAAGGATTTACAGCTCTGTATACCAGGTAACATTACTCGGGTCTCAAATTTGGGCATACCCAACAAATTACATGTACATGATAGTTAGGTAAATTGAATTTTGACTTTGTTTAATCTGAGATACTACATGTAAGTTATGCTCATGTAGTTTGATATTCAAAATATCAGTCACTACCCTCTAGGACTACCCCCAATCATGATGATGTTGCAAGATCAGTTGCTACCCACAGCATATTCATTTATGATTTGTATCGAGAAGATTATAGACAGTGGAAGATGATATCATATTTATTTATCATCCATCAAATATTTTGCTTGTGCACAATAGGTCTAAATGCATCATGTGACCGTAACCCCCAGCCAAATTGGGTGATATCCCAGAATAACACCCAAGCAGTATTCCCTAATTTTCAAACTCTATTTCCACTAAGATAAGCCTTTGTTTCAAACTTAATTCAAGATGAGAGAGGGTTTTGTGGTTGCTACAGAAGACAGGAAATCTTTTTTTTCATTACGTTGTACCAGAGAGCACTCAAAAGAAAACATCCCATGCTGCCTACAGTAAGCTGTTCGTAAACATTTTTTCACATGGGTTGCAAAACTCGCAGTTTTCCTTGAGCTTTGCTCTTGGTAAACTGTTCACATCTTGGAGCAGATAGTGCTTGCAGACAAATATCCGTACATATTTTAGAAGCTATTGTTTATTCATTTTGTTCATGATTTGTTTACAGGCCCCCTGTGGTGTACATCAGTTCATCTGCTTGCAACTCATTAGGACATTATTTGTGTACACAGGTGTGTATTCTGGAGAAAAAATCTCAATTTTAAGTATTAATTAAAAGTTCCAAGGAAATAACTGATAATATAATTAAAATGGTCAAGGCATAGATATGATTTCCTCGTGTAATGTGATTCCTTTCTTAAACATACTTTATCTTCGTTGAGATGTATATACTAGGGATTGATAACAGAATTGATTGTCAACTTTGCAACATTCATTCATTTGATATTCTACTTGTTTTAACTGGCTAATTGAGTGATGACCAGAATTTGCGTTAAAATTAGTTGAGACATAGAGAGAATAATACATGGGCACGCGTAGATATGGAATTTCTCTTTGAGTTTTTAACTTGATAGCTCATGAGTGAGTGCAGCGAATGAGTGAGATGTTGAGTTGAACATGAGAAGAAAAATTCCATATCTTCTAGCAAAACCATGTATTATTTTGTCTATTATATAACCCAATAGCCCTTTACTGAGAAGAAAAGACGACTTCATTGATGAATAAAAATAAATGAATCGACAATCCCTGAATAGCAATCATTGAGTGCATTGGCGCTAACTCTTAAGTTGAAAAAATGTGTGGAATCATGATTACAAAAACAAAAATGGTTGTAATTTTCAATTTACAAAATTCTCATTTATTGACTTTGTCCTTACCGACAGAGGAAGTCCTACAGGTAAATCGGCCAGTGGCAAATCTTCCAGTTGTTGATTTTCATTCTCAGCCAAGAGAAATGCTAGCACCAAAAGCCACTGAATATGTAACTTTCGGTTTTTCTTTTGGTATATTGGTTTCTTTCCCCTTCTAAGAAAGTTTGAACCTCACAGTCTGTCAGTGATAAGGAATTTTTTAGTGTTTGAGCTGCCATAATTCGAGAAAGCTCCGACATACAACTTGTATTGAGAATCGTGAAGGCTCTACCATTCATTTATCAACCTGACCGAGTGGCACCAAAGGCAAGTGACGTATCAGCAGCTGATTGGCTATATCAACACACATGAAAAAATTTGATACTTTTTTCACACATGTTGTTATGGCTTTTCTGAGCTGGAAATCCCAGTGTAACACCACTGTTTATGTGATAAAATATTTTACAAAATCTGACTAAAAAGAAGCAATATTTAAAACTGATCTCTTTTTTTTCCTTATCAGCTGGGATTACCTCAATCCAGTGTCTGTAAAGGTAAAGAGATATAAAAAGTGGTTTAAACCACTTTTCCCATGTTACCTAAATGAACTGTATGTGTAGTGTCAGTAGTTTCTTAATATTTTTTTTCACCATGTGATAGTGGCATGTTAAGTAAAATTATGAAAAATATCTGAACTAATCTATAAGACACAGAAATAGTTTGTGGAAACCTAAGGTAAACTGGGACATGATGAATCTGTAAGAGTCTTTCAAATTTGTGCATCACTTTTATTTGTTAATTGAACCCAAGCAACGATATTGGTAAATTGTGGTGTTGTGAATTGGGTGACCAACTTTATTTGACAAATGTGTGTTGTTCAAGACTAACGAGAAAACCTTCAGCTTTTTTCTGCAAACTGAAATGTTTGTCATTTTTTTGAGGTCTAATTTTCTTTTCATGTCTTCTCTAGTGCCATGTAACACAGTATTTGGTTCAACACATACTATGGTGAGCTAACTGTAACTTAAACTTTTGACATGGTTGCCAAAAAGCAAATAGCCGCAAGCAGCAGATCTATTTCAATGAATATAGAATTTAAACTGAGTTTAAATACTATAAAGGCCAGATAGGGGCCACATACTATTGGCAAGTAAAAGCTCCTGCTGGCTGTACAATGAACTCAATTCTAAACTGGGCTAGACCTCACCCAGTTTTTGTATTTTTCTTTTATTCAATGTACACCAAAGACAACATCCTCTGTGAAATATTTTACAGTGGTAACACTGATAAATAACAGGAGCATTATTGGGTATGATTTAAGAGTTTTATATTGTCATAAAACCATTTTTGTGTACCTCATAATGAAGAAATTCTTGAATTCTCACTTGACAGGACATTGCTGCCTTTGAGAGGCTCTTCAATGATGATGTTTCATGCGGCAAGACACCACTGCTTCTTATTGCTTATGCAGGTATGTGAACACCTTTCTTTACTTACAACCCTTTTTTACATCCTTTGCACCAGTCCTATAGCAAATAGCATCATGGCTAAACTGACCAATCAGTTTATACAAACCAGACTTAGAACAATTGACTGACTGCAACTCTTCACTTGACTCTGATGATGACTTTCACCAAGTTGTAGACAACAGTCTATCTCAGAACTACCCTCACCTGAATGATCAGACTACACAATGAAATCCCTTCTCTGAGAGCCATTTCATGATGACCCTAGGTTCAAATGCATGCATTGTCATTTTCTCTTGCTTCTGATAATGTTCTTCCTTTTCTATTGCCACTAATTTTTCGTAGAAAAAAGCAATTATGAAGTAATTATTTTGATGATTATTCATCAATCGGATTTGAAAATGTTTTTGTTTTCTTGTGTTAAATGATTTTTTAATAGGAACCCCATTGGCTGGACATACTGATAATCTCAGTAGATTAAGAGAACTTTGCACACAGAATGGTCTCTGGCTTCATCTTGAAGGGTATGGTCAATAATTTTCATGTATTGTACTGGACAATCGACCAAGTACTAAGGTTTTTTTTTTTACTGAAGGACTGTTTCTCATACTCTTTATTCCTTCTTGCTTGTGAACAGACAATTAAACATTCATTTGAAAGGCATTTGTACCTGTGGTGAGGGTTTTTCAATGTTCATTTACTCTCCTGCTAATTGACTCCATACTAACAGTTTTTTTGGTACATATATTTTTTTAAGGGACACCCTGGCAACTTTGTGCCTTGAAACAGTTCCTGCTTCCTTAAAGGTATTAATTTTGTTATGGAATATTTTAATTACCTTCAATTATGCTTATATAATTTATTTAAGTTTTAAATCTCTTTCTTTGATCTCCAGAGTGCCCCTGCCTGTGACAGCATGAGCCTAAATATCAGCAAATGGTTTGCATTGCCCAGTGCACCTTATTGTGTATCTTTTTTATTGATGATAATTAGAAAAGACAATAAAATGGTCTTTGAAGTTTTCACCTTAATATGTAATTATATATGGGCAATTTCTTTTGATATAGCAGTTAACATGATCTGTGCTTTCACAGAAATAAATTGAATGAGCAATTGGATAATTTGGTTTATCAATAATGCAAATTGGTCACTGTGAAGAGTTTCTAAAGCTGGCCTTTGGAATGTTAGCCCTTCCATAGAGCGATTAGTGATTGATAGATTGATTGATTGATTGAAATAACAGTTACAGCATTGAAGATTGAAATCTTTTAGAATCATTGTGTTTCCTAATACAGGTGCTAAAAATAGTAGTTACTGTGGGAAACAGTTATTTCTAGATCACATCAAATCATCTATAAAACTTCTTTCACTGCAGGCCATGGGTGGCCTTTGAAAATGAATCAGGGGTTAAAGTTAATGAGTTCTGCTGCAATATTCGAATAAGATGTTTTTAGATTTTATTTATTCAATAAACCGTCATTGAATTATATCTGATGTTTCAAAGATACCTTTATGTTTGTTCATGTACCTCAAATGACACGTGTTTAAGGGTAATGTGACTTAATATTTGAGGCCTTTATATCAGTAATTAAAAATATAATGTTAATTTTGCGCAAAAATTTCTCTTAATTTGGAGCAAGACATTCTACAGAGCGAAAGATCTTGTTTTGGTATGTATAATCCATTACATTTTTGTACTTTTTATATTTTCTTTTTTTTTGTTGTTGTTGTTGTTGCATTTGCTTCTCACTTCTGAGCCTAACCGACAAGGAAATTGTGAGTACTTCATGTTGAGTGACTGAGATTGAGATCGAGCTCTTGTTTTATAGGCAGAGGCCTCAGGACTCAGTCAAAGCCACACACCTGACAGACTTTCTGTCCTTCCTCTTTGGATTAGTATTCAGACTATCGGTGAGCATAAATTCTATGTTGTATGGGATGTTTTTCGCCTAAAACATTTTCACTCCCTGGATAATTGGAACCACTGGGGCAATTAGCAACCTTATTAGTATCAGTGGCTTCTTTTTTAAGCTCTTTTTCATAAGGTTTCGATGTTGATTACAGACAAGGTTTATGCCCCTATCTGTTATATCATTACTAGTCAAGGATGCATACTTGTTTTTAAAGAATCTACTGCATGAAAATTATGTCAAGTGCTCTTATCTACCAAGGATACTGATTAATGTTGAGAGAGCTTTGTAAGAATGTAATCATCAATGGCAAAGTTTCAAGGCTAAATTGTCTGAACCAGTACCATGTCTATGTACACTTTTTGTTTGAAATAACTCAGGAACAGTGTTTAGTAAATTTCAAACATCTTGTGTGTGTATTTTTTTCTTTTTGTGGTGTTACCTAAGTACATGTAATAAGCTAACAGCATTTTTTTTTTTTTTTTGATAACAGGTTTAGATAAAATGCGAGAAATGATTTTACATGCAGCCCAACTGGTAAGGATGGCTATTATTATGAATACTAAAAGTGCTTGGGATCAGTATTTTGTGTATCTTTGCTTTGTAATAACTGAGTTAAAAATGAATCAAATATTTCTTGGAAGATCTGATTATCATTTCCCATTCATTTGACAACAATGTATTCTTTTCTAGTCTCAACAATTGTGTGTGAGTTTAGATGGCATGCAAGCTGCTGTGAAGAGGATTGTAAGTAACTTACTTTATAGATAAATTGTTCAGCTATGTAGTGTTTTATTGAGTAGTGTTTTTTTAGTTGTGCTGATAGAATTCATAATCTTGTTTTCATTTAGTGCATAGATTTCAAACTTCTTATGTATCAGGCATAGCAAGAATACTCACCCCTTTTCAGTTTTCCAAAGTATTGCCATTTTCTGTTATCATTGCCATAGTTTCCCACCAAAGCCCACAGAAATTCATGGCATGTCTAAATGTTTTTCGCCTCTGTCAATCTGACAATTAGTGTGTTTACTTCAGGCCCAGCCCCACTGTATGTCGTCCATGGTTGTGTTCCAATACAAAGCAGCCCCTGTATCCCCAAGTGGATCCATTTTACAGACTGGTGGAGAAGAAGATGCCTCAGATCAAGATGAAGAACAAGGTACCTTGAGATAGAAAGCACCTGTTACCTGAAGTATGCTGCCTTTGATGTTCTATTACCAAAAAGTAACCCACCCCACCCCACCTACACTGAGATGTTTGGTTTTGACCCCCACACCCCAAAAAGTCTGTAGTTCAGTGATATAGCATAGAAGCACAGATTAATCCCTGTAGTTCAAGTCCTCCTAGTGAGTCAGATCTTTTTTGTTGTCCCACAGTTATGACAAGACGAAAACCATCTTTCTTGGTTTCATGATCAACCTCAGAATTTCCATCTTTTTTATTTCAAGTCTAATTTTTGTCTGGACTTGCCATCAATTTTTGACTTTTGGGGATGTGTTACTTAGAAGGAATTTTTCATTGGTCAAAGTGTTTCTCAAACTGGAATGTGATTGTGATTCATTTTGTACAGATGACACAGAGCTCTCCTCTTCCTCAAGATCATCGTCTCCAGAACCAGGCTGTGTTTCCTCGTCAGTGAGGGATTCAATCAATCAAATGGTAATGGAACTAAAATGCTGTACTGAAGTACATAATACAGTATTGAATAGCAAATTTATTTTCTTGTCATCTTTAAGCGCTCTCCCCTTGTTCGGTTAAGTGCTTTGTTAGTACAATAGGCTGGAATCCTCGCCAATTAGCAGATAGGAACAGTAACTTAACATGTAAGGAGTGATTTAGGTTGTGTTTTTGGAAATTCCTTGGCTGTTTGAGAATGAAAGTGAAAAACTGAGATGGAAAACAGTGGCCGAGGTGCAAGGGGAGATACTGAGATCTTTTAATTGATCTAATTAACTCAAGTGAAATTGTGTCAGAGTGGTTGTCATTTGAAACTTTTTATCACTAGATTGACATTGAATGGTGTTTAGGTGATGGGAAAATTATATATTGGTTAAGGAATAGAATACTTTGTCAAGGAAATGCAGTTTATTCATAGCAAGGCAGTGCAGTTGGGAACTAAAATATACTGATTGGACAATTATCTTACTCTCCTTGAACTGAGAGAAGGAATGAGATCATAGCATTTACTTTCTCTTTATAACAGATTATGTTTTTATGGTATTTATCTTATTCTAGATTGCAAAATACCTGGCTCAACAAGTACCTTCAGTTAAAATTGGGGTTGTGAATTTGCCCAAAGAGGGATGCTGCATTAGATTCAATCCTGTCCTTTCATCCAGAAGTAAGTTTTACTATAAAGTAGGTCTTATCAAACCTCCACTTCTCCAAGTATAGGAACAACAGGAAAAAGCAATGTTTGTCACTTGACTATGGGTTTATATGTTTGTGTGCTTAACAACTGCTAATCCTAACAACTTAGAGTAAGTGCTGAAAGTTTTGGCCTGTGGCTTTTGTTTTGACTGGAAACTCACTGAAACTTCTCTTGACCTATTGGCACTTCACTTTATTTTCAAGATATCTTTGGCATTTGATGTCAAAAAGATGCTAATAGATAAACATCCACAACTTAACAAGAAAAAAATAAATTACAGAGGGGCACATGCCTTTGTTTGCTGAAGTGATGATACTAAATAAAATAATTCTATAATTGGTAAACTTGTATAAGTAATTAGCTTATGTTTTATTTATCCTGCTGCTGGAAGCTATGACTTCTTAAAAATTTTTTAAAAGAAATAAATTGCAGCAAATTGAATAATTTTTAATCTGGTATTTTTCTTTTTTTTTTTTCAGTATGTGGAACAACCAGTGAAAATGTTGAAGACTTTGTTATCTGCCTCAAAGAAGAAGTGGTATGTTATGTTAATAAAGTTCTCTTTAACTTCATTGTTTGTTGGTGCAATGGCTTGAAAGTCACCAATCAAAATGCCATTGGTGGAATCAGCAATTATAATATTGTTAAGTGCTGCTCACACCTTTACCACTTGCAAAAATATTTTGAATATACACTGTATTTATAATTTGGTTAACCCTTTAAACTCTAAGAGTGACCACCATCTACTTTTTCCTTACAATATCACCCTTGAATCACAGAAGAAGATCACCAGTTAACCTCCTGATTGTTAAACAATTCTCCCTGTCAGCACTTTAGGATTGATTTGAATTGTATTTAGTGACTGTTGGAGAACGTGCTTTGGCCTCAAACAGTAACGGGAGCTTTTTCTCTTTTAAATTCAGGCCAGATTAGATACCCTGCTTCTATCTCAAGAGGAATTTAGGTTAGCAACAGAAGGCAAGGAACATGTTGTTGCAGTGGAGATTCAGGACACTTCAGCTGTTGGTGCCCTTCTGTAAGTAGAGCTAAGATTTGCTCTATATATTTTGAAGGGTAAATTTAACTCATTGATGTAAGAGCCAATAGGATAATCTGTGGCAGTTTTGTATTGCACCAAGTCATTCATAATGTAGTGTATAACAAGATACATTGATTGTAATTTTTTTTTTTTACCTCTTTGTGACCAGATGTGTTCCTCGTTACTGGACCAACAAGGATTTAGGAAAACTCAGGGAGGCTAAGAAAGTTGAACTTAATGACTGGAACAAAGAAGTGTTGGCAAAGGTTTCTGAAGGAATGGAAGATGTTTTTAGTAAGGGCCGCACACAAGATGGTCTCACCTGTATTACAATTGATAAGGTATTTAAAGTACTGTGCAACACAACTGCTTTTTAATGTGTTTGCTGATTCAATCCAGAGGTCCACTGTAGAGATTAGTAAAGATTACAATATTTGTGGTTAAATCTCACTAGGTCCGCAGTACTAAAGATAAAACAAAAATTTACTGCTCTACCTGTGTACCTTAAACAGCTTCTCTGGCAGTGTTGCATTTCTGAGTGGTAATCTTGAAATTAGCAGATGATGTTTGATGTTTGTCAAGAGTAAAAGAAGAGTTGTTAGATTTTTTTCCTCTTTTCATCTTATCATTCTAACAGATGTTTCTACATCTTTATTTCTTTCCATCTAAATTCCTCCTTCTCTTTATTCTTGTTATCTAGTTATCTCTATGATGTAGCTTTCTCTGTGCTGTAAAGCTTGATTACAAACTTTTCCCTGATCTTTTCTTAGGTGCCAGCCACATCATCTGTTGATGCAGTGGTAGATATTGTTTGTAAAGGAGCTACAGAACTGGAAACCTCGAGCAAGGTGTACTAAGCTGGCTGAATTATTGTTTTATGTGACTGAATTATACTCCATCTGGTTAACAAACATTAGTCCAAGTGACTACAAATTGTAAAAAAGAAATGCCTGGGCCAGTAAAACCTGCCCAGCCACTAAACTATTCTTCAGTTTATTCACTCTGACAAAGGGCTAATGCTCGTAACACACCTTAGAAACTCTTTATGGTGGCCAATTTACATTATCAACTCAGTTGTTAATACTAAATTACCCTGTTATACTCTACAATTGATGCAGCACAACAGTTTCTTTACAAACTTACCCCCTTTATCCCTCAGTTCATTCACTCACTGTTCTCAGCAAGAAGGAACTGCTTCCCTAGTGTACATTTACTTGTAAATAGTATACTCTAGATGAAGGCAGCATGAGGATAATACTTGCAGTATTTTTTTGCAATTTTGGAACCATGTTCAGTTATATTTCATCTCATTGTTTCAAAATTCTCTAATTGTAGATATTTGCACATGTAAGCAAAGGCAAAAAGTTGTATTACAAATTTAGCTATGGAGAAATAATAATTATGTATAATTTAATTAGTAAATTTGTTGAAGAAACAAAGTTTTTTTTCATCTGGAAGGTGCATGTCAATGATAAATTTATACTGCTTTTCCTGTTTAGTATTTGGAGCAGATGGCTGATGCAATTCAGAGAGGTATTGAAGCTGCCCAGCAAGACTTGGTGAAAGAATCAGAGGAAAAACTGTTGGAGGAGGTAATCAAACAATTTGGCCTTGTAGTCCATTAGGACAGATCTTAACATTTACATACTATTACAACAATGTGGGAAAGTAGCTTAATTTTGTGCTGCAAGAATTTTGTAGCAGCTGACAGTCTTGATAGGTGATCTCTTGCAATCAGTGGTGTATGTACCTCTCTTTAGCCAACTTAGCTGCAAGAGTAGTGTTTTTGTCACTTACAAGAGGCTGAGATGAACAAGCTTGATAATTGAAGCTACAATCACCTCTTAGATTTTTTGTCAACACTTGTCAAGTTGTGTCATTCAAAACATTTTCCATATTCCTCTTTCCTGAACTTTTCTTCAATGTGAAAGGAATCTTAAAAAAAAAAAAGTGAATGTAATGTCACTCATTAACATGCTTTTCTGTCTCTGTAAGGGTTTGTTACGGCAAGTCCCTCTTGTAAGTTCCTTCATGAACTGGTTGTCACCTCTTCCAGAGGAACCCAAAACTATTGGGAGAACGTTTAATCTAACATCTGGTAGGTCTTTCATGCCTTTTTGTTGTTTTAATAATAGACTGAGTAGAGTGAAATGTCATCCTTTCTGGTGTACAGATAGGACAAAGCCTCTTGCGTACCATGTCACTATGTGATAAGACTTCCAGTAGTGGCCATAAAATGGGAGACTATTACCCTATTCACACTAAAGCTGTTATGTTGTAAACACGGTTTAAAATTGTTTTCATTATAGTAGCAACATGTACTTGAACCAATGTTTGTCAACTTCAAATTTAACACAAAAATACAAGTTAGTGACCACTTAGAACTTTTGGAAAATTCAGTTTTTCAGTTCTCTGTTTCAGATATTCATTCAATTAAACCCAGTTAAACTTAATATGTTTTGCTGGTGTGAATAGGGTATAACTCAAGAAGACTAAAAAAACTGTATTGTATGAGCTGCTGCCTTATTTCTCTCTCCAAAAGGAACATGATGGCATAGTACTTTATTGCTGACAGATTGTGATGCTAAAGTACTTCAAACATCCATTTATCAGCCTTTCATTTTGAAAGGATCTAGACAAGTGTGACTAGATATGTGAATAAGGGAAACCATTCTCATAATCTGACATAAACAGAGGCAATGAAGCTCAAGTAAACAGTTACTTGCCCCCTTCATCTATGCAGCTCTAGCAACTGTTACATTTTAATTCTGTACATTTTTCAGGTAATCTACACAAGACTGAAAAAATTTATAAATATCACATGCAAGTTCAAGACGAGGATGATGAAGAAGCAGTACCAGTGACACCAACAAAGTCCTCACCAGAAGCTACTCCAGTAAAGGAAAGCCCTGCAGCATCAGACTGAAAGAAACATTCCACACAACTTAGCTTCACTCATGTACAATTGTCACCACAAGACTTTAGGATCTCAAAAGAAAACCAAGTCACATTATTCATTACATAATGCAATATTTACATGTATCGAGGTAATTACCGACAGTAAGGAGAGGATCTGTATTTGACAACTAGATCAGTACTTGTATGAACATTGAGCCAGTGCTGCAAGGCATCTGTTTCTTATCTGGTGACAATAATGTGAGTGAAAAAGAAAAGGAGATAAATATTAAGTAACTGTTTGGAAGTATCATTTTAATGGCATCAAGATGCAGCAGTCACTAACTTGCAAAGCAGTGCTCTCTCTGTAACAGAAAAAAAACAGAAACTACTCAGAATCTACCAGCAGTCAGACATGCTCCCCATGTGTCTTGAGTTGTACAACAGAGTATAGATGTACGAAGTAGAATTGCAGGATGATAAGGGTGGGATTCTTTCAAACAAATTATCAATCAGAAATTCAGGTGACTTATTATTTATATGTAAACCTTTGGCAAGTGACAGCAAATGGTTTGAGAAGTTGAAACAAGGGCAGGCATGTACCTGACAGAAATCATGTACATGTTGAAACATAATATGAAACACCCAAGAGTAACAAATTTTCCAGTTTTATGCTGGCACAGAACCTGAATGTCATAGGTAACTACCTTTTTACTTTGGGTACCTTTTACATTTTAGCCTTTCAGAAATTTTTCTAAGGGCTGGGTTACAACATATTTTTGATACCACAGCCTCTGGCACCTAGTAATTCTTGTGACACCATGCAGTTGTGCAAGCAGAAATTTTAGAATGATGTTGAGAGAAGGTTGCCTTCCTTAGAGTTACGTTTAAGTAAACTTCAGACTGTTCAAAGCAGGGGTTTTGAGCAGCAGTCCATCAACACCTCTAAGACCTGCTGTCTGTTTAGCCTGCAAGCAGGTTCTCTACTAAGGGATTATCTTGAGGCACAGCTGCCTATTACACCATCAGCAGGTGTGTGTAGAAAAAATTGTTGAAACCCCTCCCATAGCTTCTCTATAAGGTTCTCTTTGGTGTTTGATGTTAACTAATGTTGGTGCTAAATATAACAGGCATCATCAGAAGTAGCTAATGAAATCCTGCACTAAGAACAAATCATCATTTGACACAAGAAAATATGAAGGTTTATTTGTGTAATAGGATTCAACAGCTACAAAAATAATATCTATTGTGGAGTAGTGACATTTTACAAGAGTATTACCAAATGAGGTAGATGGTAAATATGGGGCTTATTATATTTCTGTTGGCTTTTAAATAATTCATCCAAGAAAATAATTTGTGTAGAAAACTTCCACGAAGATTGTTGTTTCTAAGTGTTTTGGAATGCCAAGTCTGGGACAGTTTGGGGATAATATAAAAGTGCAGGATTGCAAAAAGTGCTTAATTTCACCATTTCTCAATTGCTAAACTTGTCCAATAGCATTCTTGTTAGGTTTAAAAGTAAATTCTAGAGTTTTAACGGATGAAGTTAAATCAACAAAATAGTTTTTTTGTATGGTGCAATGTTACAGGCTTCTGTACCAGGTAACCCTCTAACTCCCATGAGTGACCAAGACAGATCTCTCCAAAACCAAATTCTCCAAACTAACATCATATGAATTGTGTGGGAGGCAGTAAGGAGAATTACTAATGGGATCTTGGGAGTGAAAGAGTTAAGCATTATTATTGGCTTCTGTATCAGTTAACCCTTTCTCCAAAACCAAATTCTCCAAACTAACATCATAAGAATTGTGTGGGAGGCAGTAAGGAGAGTTAGTGATGATATCTTGGGAGTTAAAGGGTTAAGCATTTCATAGAAAGAGACTTTTATTATTTTTTTGTCATTCTTGGTTTTAGATGTTTGAAAAGATTTACTGCTAAATATTACTGCTGGGTTCTTAATAAATCTGCAACACACTCCATAATTATACTGTCTGGTGTTTTTATTGATTAGTTTCTGAGGAAAGTCTTGTGCTGTGGCAGCAGGCAAATGAAACACTTTGTTGGTAATGAAAAACAGTTGAGAAGATTAAATAAACTACCCTGGGGTATTTTTTGAAGCTTTTCAGAATTTGCATCAGCATCTGCGTACCTGTTTTCACCTAAAGTTGATCACCAGCAATAAGTATTTTTTTTGCCTAGCCTGCATTGCTGGTATTCAAATAACTACTTGTGAGTGTTCAAGGCTGAGCACACATTATAAATGGGAAGGTGATGTGTTTATAGGGTCCCTGTTCATGTTAATAAAAAAAATTAAAAAAAAAAAAAAAAAGGAGATGGGGATTACCCCCTTCCTCTGGTCCCAAACTGAACATGTACACTTGCAGAGATTTATAATTATTTGATAGGAGGGTCCAGATAGCTACCACACGACCTTCAGCTAGGCTGCAGGTTAGTACATGCAGGTTTGATCCTTTGTGAAATGAGTTCTGTGTTTTTGGTTATGACTTAAAGCCTCCGCCCCTAAGGTGACTAGCAACCAATTCCTATGAACAGTATCACTGCTGAATCAACCATTACAGTCATAGGAATAAAGGAAATGCTCAACAACTAAAGAGTTTCAGAATTAGTCCAGTCTTCCTTTTAGAAATTGAATACACTAAAACCTGAAAAATGCATTTTTTCTAACTAACCAAGCTTATTGCCGAATTTTATATTTACTTTAGATGACAATCAGTCATTATCAGTACCGCTCTTTGCTCTAAGTTGTTCAATAATAACCCATTATTGTTCCATATCATCTGATGTTTTCTGGAGTGGCATTCTCATTGTCCACCTCAGCACCATGAAGCTACATAGGAAAAAAAAAGAAAAAAGAAAGAGAATGTAGAATATTGTGTAGCAGGTCATTGTACAAATCAGTTAGAAGTTCCACAGCTCATGCACAAACAACTTGTGAGCAT